TTCTCTTAGAAACTAGGTTTTAATTATTCCGAGTTTTATCACAATTTAGAGGTAAGATTGAGAGTCAGCTCTGTACGTCTTTGCAAATACCTTTTTTGAGACACAGCATCTGTTGCTGAAGCAATGCAGGTAATTTTTTCTCATCCACTGCAAGACTTAATTTGTTTTCATGTTTCAAATCTCTCACACTATTTAAAATATCAGATGATCACATTGTTCATCTTGCAGCTAACAACTGGCCTTTCCACCCTTTGAGAGTGCAAAACTTCATTTATATTCTTGCAAACAACAATTAATCTCTCCCAAACTTCTCAAAGATACTTCTGTACAAGTCATGCTGCTCACTGTGCTCTCATACACCGAGTATCTAAAAAAAAAAAAAAAAAAAAGTAATAGGACCTTAGGACCTGACAATCTGATCATTAACACTTAATAGCTTTAAAATGTATTTGCCTTCCTACAGAGAATGTAAAAGTCTGTTCCGTAATGAACAACAAAGGAAGTGTAATGAAGGGACAAAAAAGGAAGGAGTTTTCAGAGACAGTTGGTATCTACTTTAGAGATCTACTCGATTCAATGTCTAATTGCTAATTCAGCATCTAATTGCTCAGCATCGCATTATGCGCTTGTCTGCGAGACACGGCAGTCAGTTCAAATGGCTTTCACAAGGGCTTCTTAATGGCCCAGCTCCCTTCCTCGCCTTCTCACTAAGTGTAATTATTACTGATGCCATCTGGAATATTGAACAGAGACGAGCAGCCTTCTACCACCTGCAAAACGTTCAGCTGCTCTCTGAACAGTCTCAGGACCTTCTCTCAGCTGCTGACACTGCTCTGGTGGGGAGGCAGCGAGGCCAGCATGCCAAATGCATCAGCTCCTTATTACCTGCCCAAGCCCATCTGAGCCAGAGCAGCCATTTAGTCCCTCTCTGGCATGATGTGGAAACTCCATCACCTCCATGACATGGTGCATGACCCACTGCTGCTCTTGAATGAAAGTTTAATCAGTACTATTTTCTCTCCATGACTGTGGGCAGAACATTATGTCCTCTTGAAAAATTGCAGTGTAAGATCCAGCTTCGCACTGGTCAGCCAATTTATATTATAAATTAGTTATGCTAAAACACTTTAAAACTTTAGGACAGCTCAGAGGGTTCTGGGTCTGTTTCAAGGAGAGTTATGCAACCCTCTACAAGCATAAAGCATTTTCAAGGTATGCACTATATCTTCCAAACATTAGAGAGCGTTTAAAAGTAGCACAAGCTATAAGAGCTGCAGGTAAAGTGAGGCAAAAAAAAAAAACACGTTACAACTTGCTGAGCATCAGTATGTGTAGACATATCTGCTAGTCTCTGTGTAGCAATTTATGCTACAGCAGCCACAGCATAGACTGCTTTTGTATCCAATTTAAAAACATGAATGTTCCATCCTTACCCTAGAGCTTAAAGACAATTTACAGAAGTAGGGCACTATGAAGTATTGCTCCAATAAACTCTTGTTTTACTTCCCTTTTATAGCAAAAATTAGGGGAACACTGCAACTGCTGTCAAGTCTTAAAATATGCTTGCAATAAAATAAAAGCCATTGGGCTTCTTTAATTTCAATGGTTTTCTTCATTATTCAAAGGCCTCTTTAAATCTTTCATAGATTTTTATTTTTTTGTACAGCAGCACATAATCACCAAATAATCAAAATCTCTTGCTCGTGGAAGAAGGCACTTAATTTCTTCAAAAACTTGTATATCAGTTCCCTTGAATTGACAAAAGTTTGAATATAAAGCGTGATTTTGGTAAAAGTCCCCTACAATGAAGAAAGAAACAACTTATATGTTCAGTCGTTTCAGCTGAAGCTCATTCTAGTGATTGGGAATTTGCTATTGGCTCAGACATGACTGATACATTCTGATTCATAGAAAGCTAACATCTCTTTAATCACAATAAAACCAATTTGTAATGAGCACAGATTCAGAGCACAATGAGTTAATGCAACCAAAACCAACCATTTCATGACTGTTGTCAGTGAATTAAGAGAAGCAACTAGATTTTCAATGATATGCAAATATTTTATTTTCCTTCTCTAGATTTAAAACAAACAAAAAATCCCAGAATTAAAGTGTTTTGCATAAAGAACAACTTTTTGATGTGCTTGCTTGAAGCAGTTGAAGGAATTAGCTTCTGACAGAGAGAGAGAAATGAGGTAGCACTTGAAAAATAGATGGATTTTAGTAAAACATTTGACAATGTCTCATGAAATCCTAATTGAAAAATTAATTTTGGTCAGCTTTGCTGGAGACAACTGAATGTGGATTGAATACTGGCCAAATGGCAAATCTAAAAAGTTATGATAAAAAAAAACCGTGTAACAAGGGGGTTGGAAATATCCAGTGGGGTAATACACCCTTTGGTAATGTGGGCTCAGTTTCTGTCTTCGATAGCAATCAAGAAAAAAGGTGTAAATAGGATCTTAATGAAATATGTTGTTATTTTCATTCTAGAGTCAATAAAGACAGTGAAATTAAAAGGAACTGAGTAGGAACATGGATGGAATTTGGCCAAATAAAAAGATTCAGCAAAGGAATTAAAAAGGTTCTGCTGAAAAAGAAAAAAAATTACAAGTAAAGTGAATGCACTGCACAGGGTGAGAGATGTTTGATGTATATATCAGGAAATGCAGCATATTAAACTGCTGAATAATAGAAGAGATGGAAGTGGTACAGTTTAGGGCTCTTAAAAATCAGATTGAATGCCAGCTACTGAAATGCACGGTGTAATTATTCTTCTTTATTTCTTACATTGCTATGATATATCAGACCTAAAAAAAGACCAGCATCTTCTTCCAGAAGTTTCCTGTGCAAGTTGCATGTGTTTTAAAGCCTAGATCAGGAGATGCAGAAATAGCATTGGTTAAATTGCTCTTAAAAATGAATACTCATTGTATCTTTTGATCACATAATTGTCTCTTTACTTTCACCACACTCTGCTTAAGATTACAGTCTTTTATAAATCCAGTACTTATGTCAATATCTTAACAGTTTGTTGCCCAATTTAGAAGCTAATAAGGCTACAAGTTGGTAGGAAATAGGAATATTACTAGAAATAGCCCAAAGATTTGGTAGCAGAGTAATTTTTTTTTAACCACAATTTGTCTTAGGTTACTCTATCTTCTGATAGAAAAATAATCTCCACGTGTGCTTTCTCTTCCCTGATCATATTCTTTTCTCAGTTCTTCAGTTTCTAAGGTTAGTGATAACACTGAAAATCATTAGCAGATGCAGGGCTTTTGCATAGGCCCATTCATTCACTTCGCAAAAAGGACAACTCAAAAACATTAAGCAAAGAAAATGTGGAGAGCTCTTTTTATTCCATACCACATTTTGTGGTAGAACAGTAGCTATTTGTACTCAGCAGCTTCTGCCATTTTCCACTCTCTGTATTTTGGTCCTAATACTAAGGAAGTTTTTTTTTTTTTTCTTTCATTATGAAAGAGGCAAATAAAATAAAATAAAAAAACAAAAACAACAACACAGATAAATATCTGTAACTTTAAGAAATGCAAATTCTTTCTTGGTGTAAATGATCACGAGTTCAATAATTTCAAACTCAGTATGGCATTCTACACCAGTGGAGGATCAATACCATGTCATATCTCAGTATTTGTTAATGTATAGAACTTCACTCCACTTGTATTCCTTCTTATGTTGAGCAGTAGATTTGGGAAACGTTAATGCACAATTTGTAGACTTTAGCCACCACTATGGTTGGCCATAAAATGCAATGAAAACTGGTTTTTAGTCACTTCTGACAGGAAGCCGTCTTAATTTGATGAAATCATTACCAAAAAATCAGAATAAAACAAATGGTGGATTAAAAAGAAAATACTAGTGAAGGCTTGCCTGGAGTAAATGTAAATAAAATTGTAATATAGACGAGCCTGGTTTGTACATTGGCAGAGTTATGTACCTAAGCTTAGAAGAGCAGTTTATCATTCACTGCAGTCTCTGTGCTTGTAGTTTATCCTCAGGTAAATTCTCATATTGCCTGAAATTAAACAGATTAAGGACTAATCTAATCAATCAACTCAAAATGGGAGGGGAAAAAAAGTATTAACACCAAACTGTGAAAAGTTCTGACACTCTTCAAAACGGAAACTCCGTATTTCTGCACACTTGTTTTACGCTTTTAAAGGGATGATGTTTTATTCCTTGCCAGATTTGTTCTTCTATTCAGAAAACATTTATTCTGGTTCTTGTAACACAGTGAATTTGGAATTAATGTAGCTGGTTGGGTTGGAAAAAAACAACCTTGACTGTAACATCCATCGTTTTATCAAACCAGAAATATCCTGCGTAAAAATGTAACGTGAACTAGGTTGACAATTCTTGGAAATTAAGTTAGTTAATGATTACTATACAAACAGGTCAAGAATCAAAACTGCCACTGAAGTCTTATGGTATGTGGGTAAATTACGTTTACAATTTACAATATAGATAGGCAGAGCTATCTTAATGTGTATGGAATAACGAATCTAATTCCCGTAGGTGAAATGCCATGGTCTCAGTGAGTTGTTTTCAAAGGGTAATAATCAGAATGAGCAACACAAGTAGTCTATTTCACTGAAGTAATGCATGGTTGACATCAGCAAAGTGCTCCTTAGGTGAAACGATGTTTAAAGTTATGTAAAGCAAGCTGTGTGTTCTTACATTCTGTAGAACTAAACAGAAATACCATCTCAAGAATCCCAGCCTGCTTTCTTCATGAGTTTGTCATTCTAAGAACCATTTCTCTGCTCAAGAACAAAGGGTAGCAATGAAGACCAAGCAGCACAGCATTACAATTAGAAAACAAGTTGGGAGGAGCTGGAAGACCCACGTTGATCTGTGCACCCCTATCTTTGAGAAGTCTTACAATCATCATTCCTCCTGCCATCTGTTAATTGTTAACCAAATTAGCTAACATAAGGCTGATGTGACTGTGCCTGCTTCTACTGCAAACATACCTTTGTAGTTTGCAATGAATGATGATTATGTTTTGCTCAGTGGATTCTTGAGCATTATAGCAACCTGCTCTTTCACTGGTATGAGCGTGTGAGCCTGCCTTCGTATCAGCAGCTAAAATCTCACTGTGAGAGGTAAAGGTTTTGGCAAAGTGGGAAATGCACAGATGGGTGATCAAAGTCAAGCAGCAGTGTGTTTCCTTAAGGTGTTTGCCAAAGTGTTATTAATTAAGTACATTATTTACATTTAAAAAGTTGCTTATCTTGTGAGTTATGTGAAGTTCCTGGCTCCTGAACCATCTGCTTATCTGACAACAGGCCAGGTGAAGCAGCACTTGTGGATATAAGGAGATTGGCTACTTAGCAACCCCTGATCGGTCTTCTGTGAAAAAAGAAAGGAGCAGCAAGGGAGGAAGTCAGCTCTGGAGGTTGGTCTTTTCTGCTTCTCTTTAAAGTTAAGAAATAATGAAGTGGGAGAGGTGGAAGTTTGATCAGACAGGGAGGTTCGAGTAAAGGAAGAAATACATGCCACTCCCTCCACCCTTATTTCTTTGCCAATTGGTCAGAAACATCATCATAGATCTGATTTTGCAGTGGGCAGACTGGGAAGCTGTGCCAGTGGGGGTTTGGTCTTCACCTCAGAGCATTGGAACTCACTGAAGCCCCTCCCACAGTGACCCCATGCATAGGTCCAGACCAGCTGAAGGGTACATGAGATGGCACCAATCCTGCAAATGCACTACGTCGCTTTGTGAAATCAACTGCCTTACACCTAAAGTCAGGAAGAGCTGCACATACCTTGCCCTATGCTTCAAGCTCTTCAAAGGCAATGGGCAAAAGATTTTAAGTTGAAAACTGGGAATCTTCTGTTGTAGGAACAGCTAAGTAACAGCCAATAGCTTAAAGTGGTACTTTTGTGGTCCTTTCCACATATTCTTCAACAGTGGAAATGCAAAATGTTCTCAAGGAGAACGAAGAGGCTGTTAATTGCATGGCATTACCTCACCTGAGTAGTTTTGCAGTATTTCTGAATACAGCTGATTTTGGACAACCAAAGAAAGGATGCATAGATACCTCCATGTCACTGAGGTACACTGCATGACTTTGTGATGCATACAGGTACGTGGAAAGAAAGATGCCTTTCTAAAGTAGCTCAAGCCCAGATTTGGTCATCCCCCTGGGAATGGGTCTGGTGTAGGAGGGAGAGAGACATTTCCTAAATTTATCACAGCCCAAGAAATAAAGATCAACCTTAAAACTGTACTGGAGTATTGGAGTGAGAATTAGTGTTAGAATGAGTAAACCAAATGAGAGGAAAACTATTCACTAGTATGGAATGAAAACATGTGTACTCCTTTCTCTTTAAGGTGCTAGTGGGATATCAAGGCAGAATTAAAGTGTTTTTGGTGTCAGTTGCTTACATCTCTCAGTTCCCACTGGAAATTTTCCAATCATCAAAAATCCAGCTATAAGAAATGGGCTTTCACCGCAGTTTGCAGCTATTTCTCTCTAACTGATAATGATGTCAGGCAACCTTTGTGCAGCATAAGAAGCAGAGCAAACACTCCTCAGCTGATTTCTTGCTACTCTTATGTCATATAACAGTTGGCAATAAGGCTGGGACTTCAAATGTGTTTTTCTTTGTGCTTCAGTCATGCCATGAGACAGCAAACCCCATAACCTGAAGTTTACCAAGATAGGGCCTTTGCAGGTTGCTGTGCTGGGAAAGCTCCTCCAGTGATGGCAGGCTGCTCAGAGCTCATCCTTAGCCACAGCTCATCCAGACGCTACCAATACCCCAAAGCTCTCACAAATTACAGTGATTAATGTAACGTAATGTAATGCCTGATACTTCACAGCTTGAAGCTGACTTCCAAGGAGTGCCTGTTCCTTCTTCTTCACCACTCATGAGCTCTGCTCTCACCTTTTCCCTTCTTCCCTCACTTTTCTCCCAGATGACTCTGATTTTTGGGTGCACTTCTCCATAAAGAAACAACAAAAGATGGACTTCAGGTTTAGCTGTGGCAAAGTGAGGTTAATCACCGATTAATGCAGTGCTGAGGTCGGTGCCATAGGTAATGAGGCTGATTAACACTCAGGATCCTGCAGCACTGCTTAGGTTTATCTTTGCTTTTTTCCTTCTGGGATTAATCTCATTTTATACATTTGGACAGCCAACGTTTGGATCTCAGGTATATTAGATTGGTCTGTCAGACAGCTCCAGGCTCCTTGGGCTCCCCATCTTTCAAATCTTTGCATAAACACCTCTTCAGTTGTATAGTAATAAGTGCTTTTAAACTAGCATACTTGTAGTGAGAAAAAGCAGCAAATCTCTACATATCTATGAATTCTAAGAAACAGTATTTCTGGGCTTTTTTTTTTTTTTTTTTTCTTCCCTTCTGTGTGCTTGTTTTTCTCTGGCAGAAGTTGGACTGCAGTTTCATTTCTGTGCTTTTCAAGTGACTGACTTCTCCCCTGAAAATCTTTTCAGTCATTGTGGAATTAAACAGAAGAGATTTCTGAACAGAAAAAAAGCACAGAAAACCATCTCCAAACCAAAGAATTTTGCTCTCTATCAAGCAGAGGGGATATTTGGTACAACACTGCAGTGGGACAGAGATCAGGTGTGTGGCATGAGAGTTTGGATATCAGTTTCTCCTGCCTCATTTCCATATAAAGATGGGGTATAGCAGACTGTTTGGTGATGGGGCTGTAATGCAAATATAGCACAAATTAGATTTTGGTGCTGCAGGTCCAATCCAGGTAATTCCAGCCCTGCTTGGCAACACCTGTCCTGCTTTTATTTCTTTTGCTCCCTGTTCCTGGAGTTCCTCCCATGCAAGAAATAATCTCTTATTTCTCTCACCAGAGTCATAAAACTGCAAAGAGTTATAAAAGAGCTGCAAAGTTAAATGTTAGGAGGAAATCCTTTATTCAGAGAGTGGTGAGTCCCTGGCACAGGCTGTCCAGAGATCTGTGGGTGCCCCATCCCTGGAGGTGCTCAAGACCAGGTTGGATGGGCAACCGTGGGTTGGGTGGCAATCTTCCCTACAGTGGGTGGGTGGAACTGGATGGATAAGGGCCCTTAACTTTTAGGAAGGAATAGCCCTCCCAACTCAAGCCATTCTGGGATGAAAATAGATGGGGCTGCTCAGCCCAGAGGAAAGACCAGTCATCAGGGGCCCCATGCAAAAGAAAAGGAAGGAGGAATGACTTTGAGCAGTGCAGTGGCCCTATGTTTCCCTGTAGAGTAATGACTTTTCAAGAAGTTGGGGGTGGATTTTGTGTTTTGTTTGTGTGTGTGTGTTTTGGTCATTTTATGTGTTTGTGATTTCTTTGTAGTTTCTATGAATAGTTTGGGTTTTTTTCCATTGGTAACATCTTAGTCCATTGCTCTAGATATGCTACTCTCCATCAGCCTGGCTTCATTGAAGCTAGGTGTAGTTTTAGAATGGTGATAGACTGTAGCTGAAATTAAAACCCATACTTTTTCTTTCAAGTCTGTTATTCTGCAATGCCAGAAACACTGTGGAGTCGCCTTCTTGTCAAATAAGAATATAATAACACTGCAATACACAGCTGACTGTTGCTGATGGCTTTGAGAGCTGCAATACTCAGTTATGATACTGAGCAGCCCAGGAAATGTGGTAGAGAAGTTAGAAAGCAAAACTTACATCTCAGAGAGCTTGCCAGTATTTCTGCGTCTGCGTTCATCTCAAACTATTCTGTGAGTTTATTTTGTTTTGTAATGTCAAATCAAAACAAGTCATGCATTCAAGGAGAAACAGTAACATTCAGTAGCTCTAGCTAGTTTAGCATAGGTTTGATGGAATAGTTATACAGAAAGAGGGCATGTAATATGAAAGACTGATGTACTTTCCAGTAATACTGCATACATTAATGAATTTTCTCTGTCAAGAAAGATGCTGTTCAGTAGGGTCATAGTAGATAATTGTAGTGGAAATGCTAAGTAGTGATTAAACACCTGGCAGGAAGGCAGGGCCAACACAGAGGAGCTTAGGTGTATGCAGTGCAATGCACCTGAATGACCAGCAGGGCTGGAGCTGGTGTCCACTCCTTCCCAGACCTCATTTAAGGGTTGGCAGTGGAAGCAAGGGTATCCTTCTGGAGATCCCTGCTACCTGAGGCCTTCCAAAGGTAAGCAGCTTGTTTCCTTTGTTTGTGCTCACAGCTGTTGCATTTGAGGAAATCCCTACTTGCTGCAGCCTGGGACCATGCTGCTCTGCTATCATTGCTCCATTTTCCATTGTGTTACAACAATCCTTGTTCGGGTGATGAGGATAAAGTAAATGCTTACTATCTCCCCAAAAACAGATAGGTTAAATTAGGTTGGCTTACCTAGAAAAAATAATGTGTCTTAAGCAGGTGTTTGTCTCTTTGAAATTCCATTATGAATAAATATCCAGGAGTTGAAAGAGTAATATAGGAGGAAGTGATAACACATGTAAGTAAACTTATATACATATAGTCTGGAATTGGATGCAAAAGTTCTAATGACAAATGACTGAAATTGTCAGATGTTTCCATTAGCATCAGAATGGGCAAGAAATAACAAGATTACATTTATTCAGATAATTAGTGAAATAATATGTAATGATTTCTGATAAATTCAGATGCTTGGACATGGTGAGCAGGAAGTCCTGAGGATTCTAAGGATTTCAAAAAAACGTGTTCAGGAGGAAAATAAAATAAATAAATGGGCAAAAGATATCAGCCTGCTCCAGCAAACGTGTGCTTTTGAGTTATTGTGGTTAGTAGGCCTTGTAGCTTGACTAAACAGTGTTCTTAACAGATGAGTAACACTGAAGAATCTAAGGCAATGGTGTTGCCAAATTTCTAACAAAATAAACCATTGTCTTCAGTATTGCCTTCATCAGTTTATTTATATTTTTATTATAAATAGAAAGTAAAAGGAGATACTGAAAAATATAGCTTTTTTTGTCAACGTAGATATGATGAAAATTTTAGACATGCCAATCAATACCAATTAAGATCATGGATATCATCTGAATTTCTGTCTAGGTGGAAATCAAATATTGACTTCCACAGTTCCTCTGTGGGAAATGTCAAAGCTTCACAACTGGTATCTCACATTGTGAATTAAAGGCAAATGCTATATGCTTTGAATGTGCTCTGCACAACTTGAAGTAAAATGCAATGGTTTACTCTGTTCTCAAAAGAGCAAATGTTCTGTGTAAGCTGGGAAACCTTCCAATCACATTTTTGGAACAAGAAGATATTTCTAGGAGGCCTACAGCATAAGGTACATGAAAATATTACATATTCATATTAATCAATACACATTGGCATAAGAGAATTGATTTTTTTTTATATCATTGCTTCATCAACTGACTACAGAACTGAAATGTTCAACATTTTCTGCCAGTTCCTTCTTCCATGATGCCTA